ATTAGGTACAGTTATTTCAATACTGCAGAAACCCTGTTGTACCTTTTCAAGTCCACCGTTGTCACATTAAATATAACGCCCTTTAGCCAGAGAATCATAAAGATACGCTGAGAAAATGGGCAATTTCCAATACTCTCACCATCACAACCAGCCTACAAATGGAAAAAGAAACCCTTATCAGAGCCAGTCTCACAATTATAAATGCCAGACTCTGCTATGCATGCACACTAAATCATGATGAATTTTCGTTAATGGTGATGATACTGTAAATAGCCTTCTGAGGCCCCCTCCACCAGCCTCCAAGTGGGAGCTGGGGAGGGGAAGGGAGGCCACACATGCACTCGCCGAGCATTTTCTGTTCTCCGTCCCACACCTCACCACTTCCTGCCACGCTGGGCCTCTGAATAGCAGTACACAGAGGGAAAGAATGGCAAGAGGGAACCGCCTTTGCTACTAAAGGCAAAAAAGAAAAACATGCTCTTTCCGTCCCTCCATCTCTCGATCCTCTTTAGAAGAAACACACCTCTCTTTCCAGGATGATCATGTGTAAAAACAGACCAGCAGGTTCTCCCACGGAGACACCATCCCCAGTATTCTCTACTATTTTCACCTCTAGAATGAAGGCTGGATTATATGAGTTCTTAGACCCCCAGACACTGTAAAAATTTTTAGGTCCCCTCATCCGTTGGGGAGCATTTGTACTTGGATGGTAGATTGTTGCACAGTTGACACTGAGGGTGGAAGGATAGGAAACAGTGCCTCCCTGATGACCTAAGCAGGTCACATCCACACACACATCCCTGAGACACAGGCACAGAAAATTACTAAACAGACATCTTCCTTCCTTGGGCTCCTGGTAGAGGAGAAAGGCAGGCATTGGAGAAGAGAAGGGAGCCATGGGGCTTCATCCTCCTGGGGGAGTTCCCACACTCTTCTTTCTCTTCCCACCTTTTTCCACCCTATGCGTCTCTGGCAAGGTTACAGTGATAACAAAATGCTGCCGGAAAGACCAGGAGACTCAGCCAGACTCCGATGACAGAAACACAGCCATATTTAATCCAAGAAGTCCATTTCTGCCACATGCAGTTCAAGGAAAGTTGAGAGGAAAGCAGTGAATCTATAACCTGAATAACAGAAGGACACAAGGCAGAAAGTGAGCTGTGGTTTGGGAATTGAAGAAAGGAAAATGATGCCTTAAGAAAACTGGACAGCTTAAAGAGAACTTCACAGGTGGTTCTCTGGCATTAGGTTCCTAAGTCACCCGGAGAGTTTGTTAATAACAAGATGTCCCTATAAAAGAAGAGTATAAGAGACCCCAGACCCAATGTTAAAAAGACTTGATCAGCCTCTTCACAAAAGACAAAATCCAAATGGCCAATAAGCACATGAAAACACTCTTAGCGTCACTAGCCAGTAGGGCAATGCACGTTACAACCACAAATAGATTCCACTACACACCTACCAGAATGGCTAAAGTGAAAAGATCGGACAATATCAAGTGCGGACAGGAATGCAGAGCAACTGAATTCCCATCCGTTGCCGGTGAGAGTGCAAATTGGTACAACTACTCTGGAAAACTGTTTGGCAATGATCTACCCAAGATAAATATGCATTTATGCTATGACACAGCTATTCCATTCCCAACAGAAATGAGTGCTTAGGAGCACAAAAAGCATTCGTATGAATGTTCTTAGCAGCTTTAGTGTAATAACCAAAACCTGAAAACAACTCAGACACCATGAAGAATAGAATGAATAAATAAATGATAGTACATTCATATGGTAGGACAAGATGCCACAGTGGAAAAAATTAGCTATTACTACAAGCCACAATGTGGAGGAATCTCACATACATAATGTGGAGGGAAAGAAACCAGACTCAAAAGAGTCCTGCATAATTCAACGTACGTGACGTTCAAACACAGGCAAACTTCTCTATGTGATGGGGATCAGAAGAGCAGTTGCCTTTGGAAGCTAGGTATTGTCTGGAAAGGATGAGAGGGAGGCTTCTGGGTGGTGGCAACATTCTATAGCTTGAGCTGTGTGGTAGCTACATGGTGGGTATACTGAATTGACTAAGTCTTAGTCAAGGTTTGTTTCCTCTACTGCATGTTATATTTTAATACAGAAAAGAAGCAGAACTATTAATTTAAAAAATACAGAGTCAGATTCAGTGGGTCTTGCATGGGGTCCAGGGATCTGAATTTTTAACAAGCTCCCCCAAGGTGATGTGATGCTTGTGGTCAGTGGTCTCAGCCCCACCTTGGACAAGAGGGAAGGCTGGCCCAGTGTTATGATCAATGCATAGGACAGAACGGTTCAAACCCCCCAGTTGGATGATCTGTTGATAAGAAAACTTGCAAGACCTCCTAGTTGATAAATACAGCTGCATAATTGTAAAGATAAAGGGTGAACTTAATACACCTGAAGAGGCACCAACAGATTCAAATAAGTGACTTCAGAGACCCCTAAGCTCTGGGTACTTGCTTCACCCCCTCCAACCCCTCCAGCTCTCCCTTCCCCCCTAGTAGAGGGAAGGGCTGAGAATTCCCCCAGCTGGACCCTGAAGTTGCTGGAGCTTGAGGGGTGGGGGAGGTGCACAGCTAGGACCCAAGCATCCAAGTAGTCAGTCATAACAACTGCCCTGCAGGCGGCCCCCTGGCCGCCTGGTCCCATAGCCTTATGGCCGTTTGGAAGGCTGCCCCGTCTCCTCCTCAGCTCTGTCCTGGAAAAAGAAACAGGGCAGAGCTGAGTTACATAAAACTCCCAACGGCTTGCTGCTGGGGATCCCTCCTAAATCAGGGTGCCTTCTTAACCACTGTAGGTTTGGGCAGAGTCATGCCAAAAAAGGGGGCCAGGGAGGGATGAAAGCGCTGGGACACAAAGGCACATATTTTGGCCAGTCCTGACTTGTTCTGCAGCTTTTAAACCTCTTGTTTTTATAGTAGTTACACTAAGCTCAGCAAAGTCTGAGATAAGTTCTTCTGACCTTGGAAATCCTGTAATAACTCATTCTGAATGCAGCAAGCTCCCCGCAGAGCCCAGGCATTCTTCACAGGGCTTCTTCATGAAACTCGCCTTGACCAAGAACCCTGTGCCTGGGACAGCAGCATCTGGAGAATAATTACTCTGCACGGGTCTCTCTGCCTCACTCTGTCTCTTTCACGGTCTCAAACTCAAGCCAGTGTTTTCCCTTGGAATTGCTCTCACCTTTTCCTGAATCCTGGCCGCTCTTTCTTTAGGAGAAATAAAAAGGGGGTAGGAGCAATTCATATTTTAAAATATTGCAATGGCCTGTGTCATCCACTCCATCAAAACTTAGCCTTCTTAACAGGCTCCTTCCCAGAACTCCAACTGGCACTTAACATGGGTGCCAGGAAGGTGGGACAACGGTCTGCACGGCCATAGCGCCCACAGCCCAGAAGATCGTGATAAAAGCCGTGATTGTACATTTCCCCCCATGTGGCCTTCAAACAGAATTGTTCCAAGCCAGCACAGCTGCTGGACTGAAGGCTGTTAGGCAGTTTAGAAGAATTAGCCAGATGCCACGACTGCCCATAAAACAGGATTTACATAACCAGTGTTGCCTCATCTTAAATTTCTCTAAAATATTTTTTTTTCTGTCTCAGCCTGTTGTACATGTGGGGGTTACAGGAACATGGTGGGAGTGACTAGGACGCCTTGCTGCCTGATTGTATTACTTTAATGTGCTTCAGTGGGTGGTGTGCCAGCAAAAGGCAAAGATATACCATCTCCACTGCCCATTATTGGGCAACAATGGGAGAGTATCGCTCTGGTCACAGTCATCACCAGACAAGATGATGGGGTAAACACACAGACATTAGGGGTGAATAACCGACACCGTTGCCATAATCGGGACGTTTTATCATATGCAGTTTTATTTTCTGATGCTGATAATTCTCTCAGGCTAATTACACTCTGGGCTAAGATTTCTCAGCAGAGTTCTCAACCTACGGAGAAATTTTGTATGTATACATTTCTGATTAAAATCAAATTAGGCAGTTTAAGAGATCAGAGTGTCTTTTGTTTCCAGTGAAGACAGACCAAGGCACTTGGATAACGCGGATTTGGAGGTCTGCCTTTCAAATGCAACTTTGTTGAGCGCCTACGACGAGGGTCATTCTCAAAAGAAAAACATTGGTGCCTCTGACACGTTCTGAGAAATTCCGTTCGCCACTGAGCCCAGCAGCGGCCTTCAAGAACGTTGGTAATTCTGCTGGGTCCCCCCTCACAGCCTGAGGTGTAAAGGTCCAAATGTCGCTGCAAAGGTCAGCAGATCCTCCTCAGGTCAGAGCCTCTCCCACCTACTCTTTGCACGCTTACTCCATTTAGAATCTGTGGGGAGCATTTTTTAAAATTTCCTCTCAGTGCTTTTGGCTTCCGCCAAACGACCTTTCCAGGGCTGGTCTGTAGTTACATGGAAGGGGACCACCCACCACACCTTCCACTAAAATGACTCCCACTAGCCACTCCCTTTGAGGGACCCGCCCACCCCCGGGCAGACCTGACCAAGGGGTGATGACCCCCTCAAGATATTCCGGGTGGCTCCCTAGCACCCCTCCCTGACCTTCCCACCAGAACAGGTCATGCACCCACCACCTGATTCCCCACCTTCTTTCTGGTCCCTACCGTCTCTCTAGAAAATTCCATGAGGGCCTAAATGGTAAACACATTCTGAGAAGGAAGCATTTGTCCCTACTCTATGTAAATGTCATGAAAAAGCAATCTGGGGGGTGGAGGGAAGATAAAGGAAGAGGCAATAAATTGGAAATAGTCTAATTGTCCCCTTTCTGAGAACTGGCTTTCAACCAAGGAGGTAGGATGTCCATCCTGTGTGCGGGGGAGTGTTCCTGTCCCTGCAGAAAAGCAGGAGGGATCTGGGGGCAAACAGCTAATTTGGCTTGCTCCATCCCAGGGACCCAGAGAAAACTGGTGAGTAATAATGGGCCGTGTGTTTCCGACGTTCTGGAGGGACTTGAGGCTGAATAATATCAGTAGCTGATCTGAGGAGGCCAGAGTCAGAAGACAGTTTGACGTGGGAGGCCACGGGCAGCCACCAGAATCAGTCCTCCCCCAGGAAGAACAATGTGGTCCAAAGGGCCGGCCAGAATGCTCCTCTGTTGGCAGCTGGT